ATCTTCTCTTTTCTTATCGAAACTGGAATGATCTCGAATTTCGTAACAATATGTACCTTGTAGTTTTCAATAAATTTGCCGTTTTACCATCCGCACTTGTCCTTACGTTTGCGTCATTTCAAAACTTTATTGTAAAGCGTATTCGCAAAGGCACGGCTTCATATTTGTTTTATGTAGTTTAGACTAGTTATGCCTGGGAAGTGCTATTTTAATCCCCAATGGATGGATAATCAAGCTTATAAAGAATGGATTTTATCGATGCCCAAAAAGAAGTTCAGAGTCAAGTGCCGATTATGCATGAAGGAGATCGACATCGCGAAAATGGAAGAATCTGCTCTTAAATCACACATGAAAGAAAGGTAAAACAAAAAAGCAGTCTCATGCCTTGAGTTCTCTTTTTCCAAAGACATCAACATCTAATTCATCTGGTGTAAATACTCCTTCAACATCGTGTGCCCCATGTGAAACAGAAACTTTAGTGGCCGAGGTAACATTGTCTTATCTGGTCAAAAGGAATGTGCNTTTTGCTCTTGTGGGTAATTATTCATGTAACTCCTGTGAAGGGATTAGTAAATTGTTCTCCAAAATGTTTGCTGATAGCTGTATAGCGAGAATTTTTTTGTAGTGCCACAAAGTGAGCCTATTTGGGCTCCTTTGGATTGGCACTATACTTCAAAGGGATTCTTATAAATGAGCTGAAGAATGTTGATTGCTACACTGTACTCTTTGATGAGACGTTAAATCAGTCTCTACAATCTAAGCAGATGGACATTATGGTAAGGAATTGATAATAAAGTTTGCACTAAGTATCTTACCTCCCAATTTATGGGTCATGGAACTGCAGAAAATATTTTGTCCTCTTTTTACAAATGCATGGATGATGGTTAAAAGCTCTCTAAAATACTTCAATTATCCATGGATGGACCCTATGTCAATTGGAAATTCTATTAGAAGCTTCAGTGTGAATTAAAAGAGAAATATTCCCACCAGGTCATATTCATTGGCAGTTGTGGATTACACATAACGAATAATGCTTTTAAACATGGTGAAAATGGGATATGTTCCTTCTAATTTTTATTTTCAGAAAGAATTGTTGCTGCATAACATTTAGAGAAGGTTGTGTAAATTATGGATGAATAATTTCAGAAACGATGTTTAATAGAGGAGAGGAGGGGGTTATGGAATAGTCATGGAATATGGAATACCTAAGATTTAGCTCTGTCTTTCATGCAGCCTTCACATGGAAATACACAGGATTAAAGGATTTCACCATTAACACCTCATTACCATTAGTTATAGATTGTGCTGAAAATGATTTTGTGAATTAATATGTAAAACCAGTAGGGTTGTTTTTAAAAAAATATAAATTTTAGTCCATAATACATATACTCTCTTCTCTCTATATAGGCAAAGCATTTAGGTATTATATTTGAAATTAATTATTGCCACAACAAGCATTGTTGCTTCTAGTAAAATAGAAGAGAATAATTTTTAAAATTGGTCTTAGATTAAGGTCCTTGAAAATTTTGTTGAGGTCCTTGAAAAGTCCTGGAAAGTCCTTGAATTTCAATCTCATCATAGAGTGGGAACCCTGGGTTAGAATTCCTGTAATTTTTGCCATATGCAGGGCTGATTGTGCTCCGGAAGAAGTACAGATTTTTCGTTGACAGTGATCCGGAAGTTTCCGGAGATCGAAGGTCCAGACGTGTTAAAAAATCATTGATCACAGAAGTTTCCGGAAATCAAATTTTCAAAGGTGGAACTTAAAAACACAGTTTATTTTATTTGTTTGTAAGGGAGAGCCAGAGAGATACTTTTATAAGCTTATATTCATGATTAATATTCATTTTTTATCAGATAATAGTTGTTATAATCATAAACTCAAGAAAAAAAGACATATTTGTAAACTTTAAGTACTTCTCCAGGTCATCATAGGTATGTGTAAAATTTTAAATATATTTTAAATAAACTAAGAAATATTGAGAAAAAGGAAATGTTGAGAAAAGGAAAAAAGGAAATGGGAATGAGAAAAGGAAATGTTAAGAAAAGGAATGTTTTCAATTTAAATTTTTTTTTTTTTTAAAAACTTAAGAAATTTTCCCGGAATTTTGACTTGGACTCACAATTACCCCTGCATATGCTAAATAGTTAAACAAAAAACATGAAATTTATTTTTATTAAACCTGTGATTGATAATTAAATTGATATTAAAATAATAGGATACTTTAATGCAAAAAATGCTATTGGGGGTATTGGTACCTAATTCCGTATTGGTACCTTAGTCAAAAAAGTCACCAAATTTTTACAATAACCCAGCAGAGGCACAGCAAAAAAAAAACCTTTGCCGCTTTGATGAAGGTAGTTGGAGTGAACAGGTGTCGATTTGGAGATGACTCGCAACATTGGATGCACAACTGTAATACCTCATCAGTATGTTTGTTAGCAGTCATTGTTTTGTATCTATAGAGGTAGGATTTTTTTTAAAAATAACACACAAGAGCACGATAAATAACTTTATTTCCAAAAGATTAGTTTATTTTTTTCAATTGATTCAAAACATAAAATGGGGGAAAAAATTTAAATCTTTTTTCTTAACAACACGGTTTAAGAAAATTTTAAGTCATTTATTAAATTACAACAATAACTAAGCCAGTGTTTCTAAATTTCAACCTGATTGTTGCTCTTTAAAACAAAGTGTTTCCTACCCCATGTGAAGTAATCAATATTTCACCATAGGTTGTCCAGGACCACTTAGGATAAAAATAGGCAGCTCTGTCACTTTTTCGTGTCATGTTTCATATTTACCGAGCTTTTACGTCAAAAGAAATAGTGATTTTAATAATTTCTTCTAGATCTTAGCTATCCATTGTCAATAAAATATTGTTTGTTTTGAAAGATGTTTGTATTGATATGTTTAACGCATGTTTTTAAAGTGATTTTCCGGAAATTTAATTAACGATGTTGAATAATTGAATTATTTATGTATTGTTCTATTGTTCATTATGAAAAAAATAAATGAGAAGACTAGCATTAAAAACCCCAGTTTTTTTTCCGAAAAAATATTAAAAAAAAATTTTTTTTTGTAAAAAAAATTTATTGTGGGCAGGGGGAAATCTGAGTCTATGCCCCCCCCCCCCCCCNTTCCCCAGAAAAATTTCTGGATCCGCCCCTGAATCTGATAAGTCTTAAAGTAACATTGTGACTATGGAATAGAAATCGGGGAATTCAGTGCATCAATGGAAGGGTGGCAGTATTGAGGGGTCGTACTAAAGAGTGTAGAGTAATAAAAAATGACCTTTAAGCCAAAATATGAAACTTTCATTTATTACCAAAAATATAGAAATTTAAATATTTATGACAAATGAAATATTTTATTATACATTATCGACAAAGGCAACAGCTGATCATCTGAACAAAGCAAGCTTTTTTCTTATAGCACCTTACATTATTTTGAGAACATATTTAACAAATTTATCAGAAAGGAAACCCTTCTTCCAACATAACATTACATTCAAAGACACTACCAAAAAAAAAAAAGATTGATTGACATTTAAATTATTTACGGAGAAGTTAAAAATTTTACTTTGAAAATTCAGTAGCAGCTAGTGAGCTTAAATGATTAAAACATATTCAATAATTTTTTAGGTCTTTTCAAAATTTCTATTAAAACAATATTCAACAAAAACTCACTGAATTGCACTTTGATTAATATACAAATAGAAATGACGAAATTTTTTTTTTTGATGTACTATTGGATTTTCCAAATTTGAAGATTGCTAAACATAACTTGGAATTTTTGATTAAATTTGAATAGTAGTTGAAAGAAAAATCTGTATATTGCATTTTAATAAGAAGTTATTGCTTATCATTTATGATAATAAAATTCCTTAACATAATTTTCTACTTTATTTTTAAGAAACTTTTTATTATTTTGGAATCTTTTGACATCATATGAAACAATGAGTTTAAAGACATTACAACTACTGTGTTACAACATATTGTTATGTTATGGCAAATATTCTTTCATATACTTTAATTACAAATCACTAAATATTTCTAATGAATATCTATGTTGTAGTGTGCAATATTTTTTTACTAAGAAACAAACCCTGACAAATCAATTATTGTTATTGGCATAAGTGGCATATTTTATTACTTCTAACAGTTAATTTTGCTATAATTTCATTGTTTTATTAAATAGTAAAACACATGTGAAAACAAAATTGTGCATGTTGCATTATAAAACCTTATAATTAATCTTGTATAAAAAATATAACATACAAAATAAATAATTTGCAGCATAAAAAGTTTATAAATACACATGACGTGATAGACAAAACATTTGCAAATAAAAAATAAAAGCTACAAATCATCTAGCTTACTATCAAACCATCTAAATCGATATTGACTTTATGAAAAGTCAACTTATTATATTCCTAAAAAAAGAAATAATTATATTAATTGGTATTTTTATATAATTATTTTAATAAGAGAAAATTTATTTTATACTTAAGATTTACCTTGTATATTGTTAAAGATGTTTTTAAACTCTCCATTGCATTTAGTTCTTTTGTTAAGACACACATGAATCCACCTCCTCCAGCCCCAACAAGTAACTGACCATAGCACAATGGCTTTAATATGTCCATTATTTCCTTGATAAGCACAGGTTCACAACCAGGAGCCAATATTTTCTTTTGGTCCCAATATTTATTCATCAAATTTCCAATTTCAAAATAATCTCCTAAATATTAAAACGTAATATAATATTTAAATAGAGCAAACATATAATAAATGAAAAGAAATATTCCCATAATATTTCTTTATCAAGTATCACATGCTTTCATACAAGAATGTTTATAGTATTAATATGAAAAAACTATTTTTTTCCATGTTTATTATAAATAAAATTCTAGTTCCTTTGTATATACAATCAATACTTAAGTTCTTATCAGAGCCGTTTTTATGTTTATAGGGGCCCTGGGCCTGTCATTATCTGGGGGCCCTTTATGAATAAATTTAGAGAGAAAATTTTTGAATAATTTTTAAAAATTATTTTATTTCAAGAGTAAAAAAAATATAAATTAATTATAAGAACTTATATACATTATTTTTATCGAAAATTTAAGGTAACAATACTTTTCGCGCTTTTTGAGAGGCGAATCTTCTATCATATCATCAAAATCAATTTCCTGTAAGACATACAATTTGCTTTGCAACTCAAAATATGTAAGACTTAAAAACATCAAATTATGAAGGCGTGTAGAAAATATGCTAGGAATTAGAAAGAATACAAGAAAATACAGTTTGATTATAATCGTTTTTTATAATCGTTGAAAAACTTACACAATTTTGAGCCAATGTTTAACTACGTAGCCTTGAAATTTTAAAACCAATCCAGAAGGCAAGGAAACTCCTGGATCAGTTTCCAGAGGTATTGAATTGTCATAAGAACTGGGAGGACTTTATGACCCCGACAGATTTAACATGCACCAGTCACCATTTTATACATGGGTATTATTCGGTCGGCTGAATTTGAACTTACATTCTCAAGAGCAGGAGTCCATAGCCCTACCAACCAAGCTATCGTGGCCAAGTTATTAGTTTATTTCACAACAGTCATTGAACAGTCCACCCAATTTCGAGTTTACGACTACTAATGTTCAGCTCCGTAGCCTTGTAATTTTGAACCCAATCCATCATACAAGAGAACTCTAGGATCAAGTATTGGAAGAAATTTTTGCC